GACACCCACGAAAAGATGTGGGGTAGTGGGTATTCTTACCCGCCACTACACGGGTAGTGTGTAGTGGCGATATATATACAAATATATATATATATATATATATATATATATATATATATATAAAAAAATATCATTAAAGTGGTCATAGGTAGCTTCAGAGAATAGACGCTCTGAAGTAGTCAGTACTTCCTTCCCGGTCGAATACTTTTGCCTAACATTCGGCTATTCGGCCAGGAAGTCCGCAGAATATTCGCTATTCGGCGTGTGGCTGAATATACTATTCGTTGTAAGTCTATTTATGAACAGTAACTAGAGAGAGGGAATTACCCACACCAATACACTTGCCCATGATGGTGGGTATGGTCTATCTTCCAAGTCATGACTTGCATGCCAGTTGTCCAGCAGTGGACTAAAAAGACTGTTGATATGACAGTCGTATGCAATATTTTAGTTTCTCGGAAAGAATAATCTGCTGTTGATCATGTCGATGTATTAACGTCGATCAGCAACAACATTCCTTAGTAAACAAACAACTGCATATAAATAAGTCAAGATATTTAAGCAAAACAACCTGTTTATTAACTTGCTTTGAACACATAAACGTTACGAGTGTGAGTGCCCACATTTATATACTAATTCGATCCACTCCAACGAGACGACGTTATTGTGATATGCTGTATTTTTTTATTCAAACGTTATTATCACTAGGATATTTATTTGTATCGTAGAGACGTTTTAAGCTTGTAAAAGCCCACTGCTGAACATGGGCCTGCCCCATAGATTAGTCCTCATAGAGGGGATATTTGTCATAATTGCCACGCTTGGCAAGCGGTTTGGCAATCGCAATTTTTTTCGTCAATCGTTATTAGGAAGACACTGATGCCCATCTCCTGATTTATATCCTTCTGTCGCCTCTTACGACATCCGTGGTGATGGTGATGATGGCTTACGAGGTGATGTGGGTTAGTAGATAGTCTTACACCGCCAATACACTACGTCATATTTAATTTAGTTGTCGCATCCTTTATCGATGTTCGGTCTCGTAAACAGAAATGAAAACCTTACATGGTACTATAATAAATAATGTACCTGAGATCCCAGAGAGAAGACGATTTTCAATTTGACTGTAGGTTTTTTTCTTTGTATGAATATTACGAGTTATAATTTCTTTTAAATACGTCTTACTTCAAGGGTAATGTAAGAGATAAGTTGATTTAATGATCAAAATATTCTCCCATATGGATGGGAATAATTAAAAATTAAAAATTTTGTATAACCGACTTCAATATAAATGATTAAGAATAACTCAAAAACTATTGGTCAGCCCTTGATCAAACTTATATGGGAACACATGTGAAGCACCAGCTTTCAAATAAAAAAGGAATCATCGAAATTGGTTCACTCAAAAAAAAGTTATGAGGTAACACACATAAAAAAAACATACAGTCGAATTGAGTAGGAACCTCCACCTGTTTGAAGGCTGTAGAAAATGTATTTGAGTCCACTCAAATGGGTCAGGAATTTAAACATTTAATAAAATGTAAAAGCCAACTTCAAAGAACTAATAAGAGTAGGTAATATACATACGAGTATAATAACTTCTGAAATCGAGGCTTTGGTTCTTCTATACACTATGTTTTAGCGCCGGATTCAGAAGCTATTATGTAATATATAGATCTCCCCCACATATCGCACGATTTATCATCGTCATCATCATCATTACAGCCCTTCACAAGTCCACTGCTGAACATAGGCTTCACCCAAGGAATGCCACAAAGCAAAAGCCACTTGCATCCATCGACTACCTGCACCAGGTCGCATAATTTTTAATTCTTTCAAATAAATAAAACTAGTTTTACGGATTTTATCGCGTATATCAACTTTAGTTAAAACTAGTTTTATTTAAATGTGTAGTGTTCGCGTAAATAAGTAAGAAATCTTTCAAATAAACAGTTATTAAAAGTATAAGTTTTTTGGCGCTTTCTTTGTTATTTAATGATAGATACATTGCAAAATAATTGCCCAAATGTGAGATCAACCGGATGCGATACTTTAGCTGGAAAATACGACCATCACAGACACGTCGCCGCCGTTGTTGGAACTTGGAACAAGTCCATTATTGGTCAGTCGTATATAAAAGTACTCTGTGGTCAGTCGGAAAACATCTCCGCTTAAAGAGGCACGTGAATATCGTTTGCTTACGTGAACTTTTTGAGAGCTTTCGTAGTCTTAATGCACGTGATTAGTAATTATTAGTGGTTTCTGTTGTGAAATTAGAAAATGGTTTAATGAACAAAACATCGAATTTAAGTTATAAAAACATATTAAGTGTGGTGTTAAAAACAAAAAGTGTACTGTGAAGCAAACTTCAAAATAAGTTGTTAGCTATCGTGTATTTACTAATAAAACGTCATTTTAGTACGTTAATACAAATTATCGGGATAGAGTTAGTTATTTTTCTTATTGTTTTATTATTTAAATGTAGTGTGAGTATTGTTTAAATATTCCATAAATACCTAGTACGGGTTCAAACTTAAGCAAGTAACAATAATAATTTATAATTTGCTTTTTTTAATAAGAATTTTGCCCTTCGCAAACACTAAGAACCTCATTTATAGACTGTTTCTCTTTCGAAAAACTTTACACGTTTTAAAATTTGAATAGGTATTGTACGTTACAGCGGCATTTACTTGTAACTCTAGTATATTAAAAAGTACTATGTCGTTGTAACGGTATTATTTTTGAGAAAGGAATCTTCTCCGTTTAGACTAGACGCTGTATCCGATGCTTTATCTACACTTATTACAAATATCGTGCATTGGAAACATAAAGCATAAAGCTATAATATTGTATCTGTTTCTGCGCTAGTGTTGCCAAGTGCCGATACATATTATAGTATCACACTATTTTATAAAAATGCTATATAATTCTAAAAAAATATATAGATACAATAGGCGAAACTATTACAGATTCAATGAAAGCTAATGATAACGTGACGAGATGCTGTAAATAAAGACTCAAAACAGCAAAATTTATATCCATAAAAAAATATTACTTTGCAATATAGGGTTTTATTTATTTCGCCTTCTACTATACTTATTTTTACAAGTAATGTCCTCGAAGTTACTGTCTTTGTTATGAAACAAGAGAAATTAAAAAAAAAATATATGTATATATATATATATACATATATATAATTTATATATATATATGTTTATATATATATATATACATATATATAATTTATATATATATATATATATATATATATATATATATAATATACCACATTGTATTTGTCATCCGATTCTGAGCCTTGTTCAAAATTTCAAATATCATCGAGATTTTAGTTGAAAATAAATTACTAAATTCCACCTAAGCATACATACACGAAAGCCAGGCAATAAAAACGTGGTAAAGACAATGACTTGTCTTACTCAAATTTGTGTATTATTTTTTTAATTCATCAAACGCCATCAGATCCGTACTGAAACAGATACCCAACATAAGTACTAAGTATATTCAGAGAATGCTGCCTTCTTCTATATATTGTGAATTACGCTTTTTATTCATATACATTCATCTGTTTTAATTAGTCATCCCACGTGATGTCTATAGTAATAATAGATACGATACGCATTTTATAACATACTAGCTGGAATCCGGCGCGTTGCTACCGCAGAAGAAGTAATTGTGGAAATATCGTTTTGAATTTGGAAGAGTTCTATTGTTTGATTAGGAATGATAATACATTAAATAAAATTGAATGATCTATAACTTTCAAATAAATTGTCAGTAATTTAATTCTACTATGCCTATGCGCAAGTGCGAGCAATAAGTTGATAAAGTTTTACCGCAATCTGATAAACGGTATGTCAGTACATAAAATACATTATTTTTTATGTATGTATTAGATTATCTTCGTTGTAGAGCTAAATTTCTAACGAGGCCTCCATCTGGGTTGATACTCGATTTTCATTTCCTTTTGCCGCTTTAAAGTTTTTTTTATCCACTACTCTGTTACAGCTTCAAAACTAAGAGTATATTTACAGTCTAAAATATATATAAGGCATTCCATATTAGTCCTCATGGCTGATAATGCATCTGCATTTTGATTCGCAAACGATGATAGATGTACATGTCTATGGGCCACAGCAACCACTTACCATCAATCATGTGGACTGTGTGGTCGCTTGTCACCCTTATTCTATAATATAATAATAATAAAGTAGTCTTTTTTTAGATTGATTGTGGATGTACATAGGCTACAGTGGTTGGTCACTTACCATTACGCTGACTGTTAGCTCGTTTGTCTCTTTAATATTAAAAAAGACCATTATATTAAATTTTCAAATTGTACTATAGCCCTTTTAACCACCTACGAAAATAGAGGGGTGTTATAAATTTAACGTGTGTATCTGTGTGTCTATTAGTGGCATCAAAGCGCCCAAACGGACGAGCCGATTTTAATTTAGTTGTTTTTGGTTGGAAAGTGACTTCATCGAAAGTGTTCTTAGCTATGATTTATGAAAATCTTTTTAGCCGTCAGCTGTTTTTGTTCCGGGTATTTTTAATTTTATTATTTGTTAAAGTCAACGCTATGGTAAAGTTGACGGCTCAGTGGCGCATTGGCTTTCCATTGACTTGCGACAAATGGCCACGGGTTCAAATCCCGCACTGAACAAGTATTTATAAATGATCTATAAATAATTGTTCCGGGTGTGGATGCCCATCGTTGTACAATTTATGTATGTAAACTGCCGCCACGATACAGGAGAAAATCTTAGTGTGGGGTACCGTGTTTTTATTAAAAAAAGGTAAACACCTAAGTGAATATTTTATCATTAAGACGGACCATTATACCTGTATAAAACAAAATTAAAAAATAACGAAAAGAAGCTTAAGAAATATGGAACTATTATTGACGGAACTATTTGCGTTAATTGCTTAATTGCTATGGCGAGCGTAGAACGTCTATAAAAAGTTAACACAAAGAATGGATGGACCATAGAATGAGCGTCTATCAGGCGCTAATACATTATTTAGTATTGCTTGTATATCCTGCCTGCGCCTTCATTGCTGGAGTTGATGGTGAGTGTATTTCATATTTCATAGTCATAAGTGGTATAGCCATGTTGCAGCTATATTATAGTTGTAGCACGAATGGGCCGGTTCGACCGAGGAAGGACCACTCCGAATACCTGAATAAAATAGCAGCTCAATGCTGCAGTGTTTCGTATTGTGAGTGCAGAGAACCGGAGACCCTTTTTACTGGATACGAGGCAATCTATCTTAGTCCTTAGGGGTGACAACGCATCTGCATTTTGACTCTTAATCGAGAATAGATGTAGATGTATATGGGCCACAGCATCCGCTTATACTCAGGTGGGCTGAGTGCTCGTTTGTCAACCTTATTCTATAAAAAAATTACTCCTTCTTCATCAGCACATACAAATCCTCTGCTGGGCTTTGACCTATCCTTTTGTAGGGAGTTTTCGCCTTAATCGCCAGATTGGCAGGTGAAATGAAACTCTCAGTATCAGATGTCCCTCATTTTTACAATGTCTGCCCGTCTCCGATCTATTTATTTTATGTCTAGCTTAGACGAGACGGTTATATCGCCATAAATATCAAAAGACATACGTCGCCTTTTATGACACTTACAGAAATATACTTTTGCGCCAAGGCCACCACACTGAGAACTACATAGACGAAATTATTTTATATATATTTTATTATTTCTAAATCATGTGTAACTACGACCTTACAAAATGCGGGACAGATACAAAATTACGAAATTGATCATAACGTACCTTTAATTAATGTTTATTCTAGTTATAATGTTTATTCTTTTATAAAATGACATCCTTGTAACGGAAGCATTCAAGGCGGCTCCCACTAGATGTAGTGATGAACTGGTAGGAGATTCAATGGCTGAGGACCGTGTTTTGTGACATTTTTTGGGGAAGGCCTGAGTTCAACAGTGGACTTTTGAAGAGCTGTACTGATGATAATAATGATTATAAAATGTACATTTTATATTACACAGTGCATACAGTGGATACTGTTGATGTTTTTGGTATTTTTCAAAACTAGCTTAAAATACGGAGTCGTGATAGCTCAGTTGCTAGGCGCTGGACGTGAGTTTTATAACACGCAAAACTTAGTTCAGCATCAATAAAATTGTTATAATTAATAAATACCAATTTGCCACGTGCTCTGTGTTGAAGAAAAACAGCTTGAGAAAACCGCAGTCCAAGAAATAAAATATTTATTTCTATGACATGTGGAGTCCGCCAACACGCCCTGGAATAATTCTACGAACACATTGATCCACAACCCTAACAGAAATGAGAGGAAGTCTGTCTCCAGTTTTGTAAATTTTTATACCTATAATCGTATAACTTTCATTATTTTTTCTTTATAAAAGGACCTTTATTATATCAAGAGGCTTTAGAAGGTGGCAACACAACTCTTTACTGTGATACAATTCCAACAATTGCGGATGATGAACTCATGTTGCTAATTTGGTATAAAGAAGACGATTCTATTTATAGGTAAGTCACCGAACAACTGAAATTATTATACACTTATTCTATTAAGTTTGTTAGGCAAAACGTAAAAGAACATTACTCAAAAGACACACGTCTATATACTCTAGTGGTTAAAGTGAGTACAAATAAAAAATAAATATAGCAATAGATATAATCCAACATGAGTCTACAGTGTAAGCTATTGCAGCCCAAGGACACTTGAAACTAACATCAAAAAAAAAACTAAGGCTACAGATGCATTGTCACCTTTGAGGACAAAGATAAAATGGCATTCAGAACTTCAAAACGAACCATAGCAGTGTAGGTATAGTGTACACAATGCTGTGTGGTGACAGAAATATGCAAGAGGATGGTACGTACTTCCACGGACTCCTAGGCAGTAAAGGACCACCTAGTAAAACAAAGCAGTTTCCTGGAATTGATATTTAAGTATATATAAGCCTTAGATTTAGAATATACTGGCGTATAGACCGGCATAGTGTACAAGGAAGAAGAAAATTCCTTATGGCAAAAATGCAAGATAGATAATTTAACATTTAAAATTTTGTACAACCGACTTCAATATAAATTATTAAAAATAACTCAAAAACTGTTAGTCAGACCTTGATCAAATTTATATGGGACTACATGTGAAGCACCAGTTTTCAAATAAAAAAGAATCCTCGAAATCGGTCCACACTGTACAAAGTTATGGGGTAACACACATAAAAAAACAGTCGAATTGAGTACCGTCTCCTTTTTGAAGTCGGTAGAAAAGGATACCAAACCTCATGACTCTCTAACCGATTTTGAATGACAGGTCGGCACAAGTCGGCACGCAAGAAATAAGGTCTTAGATATTTTGTAATTTTTTAGAGTGTAATGGAGGTAATTTTTAGTGAGTAACTTTTTTCCAAAATGGTTACTTGTTCTGTGAGTGACTGTGGTGTTAACAATAGAAATTATCACACAATGACAAATCAAAATTAGTCATTTTCGGGCTGTCAGGTCGTCTATTAGCCAGTTTAATCTAAGTCTATGATATAAGCAATGCTATTAAGTTAGGCTAGGTTTACTTTATAGTTAAAAAAAGGTTTATTTTATAGTTCATTGCTAATATTTCCTTTAAGCACTTCCGGTAAGCTTAAAATGCTAGTGTTAATGGTTCACGACTGTAAACGAATCGCGGATTCGAACCCATGACCTATTGAGGTCGCGGTCCGCACCCGGCCAGTAGGCTACTGCCGCTTCTTAAATATTAGCAAGTTCTTCGTTTAATTTGTTTTATTTTTGCAGACATTGCTCGTTTTATCCATTAATCTCTTTTCAGAAAACTCATTCTATTGCTTTTGTTTTAGTTACGATGCCCGAATAAGTTACGAATGGTCCAGCGTAACTTTTAACAGAACCGGAAGACTGACCGTCGATTTACGTAAAAACCCTACCGTACTTTCTGTGTCGGATTTGCGAGAAGATGACCAAGCATTATACCACTGCAGGGTGGAGTTTTTACTGTCTCCTACCAGATATACTGGTATAAATCTAACCGTTATTGGTGAGTTTATTCTTACTAACATTTCACGTTTACTAAATAATTAATTCGTAAAATAGGGTCTTAAAACATAAAAATACAATAACTTATATAGGCTAAACTAGCAATCCGTCCCGGCTTCGCACGGGTGATTCCTGTATCTCGACAACAACGCCACCTACTGGTTCCAATTGTAAGCCCACTCAAATACACACAAAAAACTTCATCACAATCGGTCGAGCCGCTTTTGAGTTTTAGCGAAACTAACGGACAGCAATTGATTTTTATATATAGAGTCGCCATAAGACCACTGCTGGAAACAAATGAGCATACAGTGCACCTCATGGTAAGTGGACATCGTGACATCTATATCTATCCCCAATTAAAAATCGAAATGCAAATGCGTTGGTCACCTCTAAAGACTAAGATGGAATGCCTCGTATCCAGTAAAAACTATCGTTCTCTACACTAACGAAACCCAACAGCAATAAGCTGCTATTTTACGCTGGTTTACTGGACTGGTCCTACCTCGGTCAATCTACAACTGAAATATAGCTACAATATGGCTACACCACTTAAATTTATGGGTCTTTCTGACAGTTAAAATAATTTTTAGTTGTCATTGTCACACTCGGAAAACGCTGCATTGTCCACCTGACGGTCAATTACCCCATTGACACCTATTTTCGATTAAGAATCAAAATGCAGAAGCATCCCAGAGGACATGAAATGTCTTGTTACCATTATAAAGGGTTTCCGAATCTCAACTGTAACTATACGAAACAGTAGCATTTAAACTAATAATCTGAATTTTGTACGTGGTAGAGCCATGCTGCAGCTATTAGTAGTATAGTTGTAGCACGAATGGGTTGGCTCGAACGGGGAAGGACCACGCTCTCACAGAATACCAGCGTAAAATAGCAGCTTCATACTGCTGTGTTTCGTGTGGTGAGTGTAGAGAACCGGAGACCCTTTTTACTGGAAAAGAGGCATTCTATCTTAGTCCTAACGGGTGACAATGCATCTGCATTTTGATTCGCAAACGAGGCTAGATGTAGATGCCTATGGGCCACAGCAACCAATTACCATCAGGTGGACTGTGTGCTCGTTTGTCACCCTGTCCTATAAAAAAAAAGGCACTGAACGACCCTAGAGGTGAGGATAGCAGGGAAACTCCTCCGCTCGAGCTGACACGTTCGTACAGTACCTACCTATCGTATATTACAACTGTGTAGTGGCTTTACCACGTCGATAAGTTTAATGAAAGTAATTTGAAGATAAGCGAACGCAATATTAGATATTTCACACCTACGACACGGCTTGTCCTTCTTTTATTGTTCAACATTCCTTAGCTTAAACTGGCTTTTGCAATTCCCACGACTCGAGATATGGTAATAGATTACCTTACGCCAAAACAACACTGCAGACTAATACTATTTACTGAATATTTTATTTTATCTAAATGTAAGTAAGCTGTAGGTTAGGATGCTGTATTTACAATATATGATAATCTTATGCGTAACACCGAACACAGGTTAGGACGAGTGTGTACCTTTAAGTTAGCGCGAACATTTATGTTTCGGTTATAACCTTGCGTAGTTGTGATTCAATCTAATCCAATCATTAGAAAGTTGTTACCATTAGGCAATTAGTCACGCGGCCAATAAAACGCCTATGTCACCACTATTGAAAATTGAGTAGAGGTGCAACGTTGAACAGTGTATTGTAGTAACATATTGGGTTTTGTTAACTGCATGAGAGATCTCAATCACCACAGTATAAACGCTGTAATCTATTGAAAATCTCAACATTTAATCTGTCGGTTTAAACAAAGTTCAAATAAACCTGCGTAAAATAGCAGCATAAGGATGCTTTGTTCCGTATCATCAGAACCGGACACTTGCTGGAACGAGGCATTGCATCTTCCTTAGGCGTAACAACGCATCTGCATTTTAATTCTTAATTGATGATGGATAGAAGCGTCTATAGCTCACGTAGTGTAGACGGCCTTGGCGGCTATAAGGAAGCGAGATGGAATAATGTCCATCTCCCTCGCTCTTTTTCTTATGTTGACACAAAAGAAATATTTTTTTTTAAATGACGCTTCATTTTAATAGACGCTAGTAATTAATTTATTTGTATTTGTTAATCAATGATATAATACGTTTATCAAAAATAATATACTACGAAAGGAATTTCGTTCCAACCGAGTGTTCCACGACATACGCATGTTTTTTTATTTATTTTTATATTTGTTTGACTTTTAATACCAGAAAATATTAATTAGTATTTTCTTTCAGTGCCACCTAGTAAACCGTTTTTTCTGGACGAACTTGGTAATAAGGTGCAAAATAAAGTTGGTCCCTATTTTGAAGGAGACACGTTGGTGCTTAACTGTCTCGTAATTGGAGGTAGGACTTTTGACTTTTTTAAAGTGAAAACTTCTTTAGAATCGTTGTGATTTGAAATTCGGTGAAACGAAAAAGCAACACTAAAAAGAGACAACCATATACATCTATAGGATTTAGCCTGCGAGAGAATGAAATACAGTATACAGTGTTTCCTATTGTCTTGGTCTCCTCTTCTGAAAGTTTCACTTCTACCACGTGTGAACTGAAAACGTTTTTTTTTTAATATGAACGGTTATAAAGAATGTTTATTAATGTTTTTTCATTGTTTTCTTACAATTGTCTCTTATTTAATTTAGTTATATCAATTGTGTATTTTTTCTAGTTTACAGAGTAACAGTAACAAAGCTATCTATTACTTCTCGTTCTGAAATTTCCCTTCTGTACTAACATCTCAAAATCATGTGTAATAGAAACAAACTTATGTTGGTCTTTTTCCAGGACGACCTCCACCTCGTATTACATGGTATTCTGGTGATGTCCTCGTAGATGCGTCAGACAGTGAAAGCGATATACCAAATGTAAGGCAAAATGAATTATACTTGCCACTGATGAGAGATAACGCCGAAAATCTCTCTTGCAAAGCAACTAACACGCACTTGTCACCACCTGTCTCAGCTTACGTAGATATAGAATTATATTGTAAGCATTCCAAATATTAAGTTGAAAAAGATTTAAAAAAATTGCAGGAAGTAAGTATTTTTGGTAAATAATATATTATAAAATGTTTTTTATATTATTCTAGTATCTGCCGATAACGTCTCAATCCATTGGATCCAAGGCATACAAAATGGCAGTCTTCAAAGCGGTAAAAAAGCTATAGTACAATGTACAGCATATGGAGTCTATCCTTCCCCTGAGGTAGCTTGGTGGCTGAATCATAAACATTTAACCCAGTATAGCAATCAGGTATCTTAGTTTCAGCTTATTTAATTTTTTTTTAATAATAATTACCTTATCTAACCCAAGGGACTCTCCCAATTTACTTGTTAATAAAGAAGTGAAATTTTGATATGCACTGATTTTTTATCATTACTTTTAAAAAACTTACTCCAAAATGATTTTTGTGTAAATATAGTTACACAAAGAGAATTGTGGAACAAGTTTACAAATAACCAATTTATTTCACATTTGAAAATGCTTAAGTTCATTATAATTTTGCAATAGACTTGGAGCCATGTTACGAGGACAGCAGTGTCACGCCTACAATTTATACCCACGGTAGCAGACAATCAAGCTACTTTGGCATGTGTATCTACGAATCCCGCTATACCACCTGGAAGGAATTCTAAAGCTGATGTTGTTACTCTAAATGTGACATGTTAGTACGTACCTACTTAACCTAATGCGTAATACTTGATTCATTGTACTATAAAATATTACTTACCATTAGACCTTGTATGATTTGCCTCCTTTTTTAATTATTCAATTTTGAAAACCTTTACGAAGTATTTACAAGTAACTATGAATCAATAATGTTCATCCGAAACTTATCGTATCGCATTGCAATGATTCGTGTTTAGAATTCCCATTAAACAATTTTTATAGGATAAGCGAACACACAGTCCACCTGATGGTAAATGGTTGCTGTGGCCTATGTACATCATCTTCGTCTCCGAATCAAAATACAGATGCGTTGTTAGCCATGAGGACTAAAAGGGAATGATTATTTTGCAGTAAAAAGGGTCTCCGGTTCTCTACACCCACCATACGAAACACAGCAGCATTAAGCTGCTATTTTACGCTGGTATTCTTTGAGAGCGTGGTCCTTTTCCGGTCAGTCCGACCCATTCATGCTACAACTATACAGTTAATATAGCTGCAGCATGGCTCTACTACGTTTTCGATAAAATGGTTTTTGGTAAAAATGGTATTTGCTTTTCTTTAAGATATTTATTAATGTTTGTTTCTTACTACAGATGCTCCAATAGTAGAAATTTCAACCCTTAATATGAGTAAACTCAACGAAGTTATCGAAAACAAAGCTTTACAACTAATGTGCGAAGTTGAAGCAAATCCCCCGCCTGATAGAATTATGTGGTATTTTAATGTAAGTGGTAAATAAACCTTATTGATGATTTTTTTTTTATAGGATAAGGGTGACAAACGACAGATGCGTTGTCACCCATGAGGACTAAGATGGAATGCCTCGTTTCCAGTAAAAAGGGTCTCCGGTTCTCTACACTCACCATACGAAACACAGCAGCGTTAAGCTACTATTTTACGCTGGTATTCTGTGAGAGCGTGGTCCTTCCCCGGTCGAGCCGACCCATTCGTGCTACAACCATAATATAGCTGCAGCATGGCTCTACCACGTAGAAAATGATAAAGTTACATTAAAAAGCAAATAAGAACCAATATAAACAATTATTAAAATAATGGATGACTTTTTCAATCCTCAGGTAAAATTTATTTATAAAAACAAAACACAGATAAACTAATAGTTCAATTGTTTCGCTTTTATATTCATTCAGTTAGTTAGGTTATAATTTATTCGATAACAGTTTTTATCTGACGATTTAAAACTCAGTTCTAAGCAAAAATGTAATGATCAGTTCTATTATTGAAATTATAAGATAAATATTTCATTTAATTAATATTAACTGTGATATATCTTTCAAAATTTAACAGTTATTGTGTAAAAAAAAAGAGTTATTGACTGTCATTATATTTAAAGTTTCAATCTTTATTCGATATTTAAACAAATATACACTGTACACAATAAATTAAAAACATTATGTTTAAGGGTGTGCAAATTAAGGAGGGAAAGATTTGGGGCGATGATGTCTTCTCAAATACAATATTTATTCAAGAAGCAAAGCGAACGCATACTGGCCAATACACATGTTCAGCTAGAAATAACATTGGAGAAAGCAAGGCAGAACTAGTAAATATAACTGTACTCTGTAAGTGTAAAATCCTAAATATTATATACAGATTATAATTTATTAATTATCAACAGCGAACTTTAACATTTTTTTTTCTGTTAATTATAACGTTACATAAATGTTTGTAACGAATTATTTTATTTTATTAAAATGTGTCAAAATCTACTGATGGAAAAAGGCCTCTCTAGTATTAAACCCTGTTCCAAGAAGACGGACAGTTTATAGCTACTTATTACGTATGTATATTCGCCTCAATCATCTTGCACCTTAGTGGTTATTTTCTGCAACGTAAGGCAGTATTTACATGCAAGTCGTAACCAGTTCATAACTTGCATGCAAATAGGTAAATGTTTCTTCTTCTTCTTTACTTTTTTTCCCACGGGATAAAGTAAAGTGATGAATTGTCTTATACTGACGTGGTAACATCAAATTGTTTAAATTTAGCCTTTCCATTTGCCTGTGTTCTTATCTACCCGATCAAAAAAAGGGACATATTTTACAATTATTATAACAAGAAATATTTTATAAGTGCATGAAATATTTCTAATAACTCGTAATTAATGCACAATACTGTATTATATAGGGTATTTTTGGAACGCTCCTGAAAACTAAGACAGGCGACAGCACCAATAGCATGCAGGCACAGTAATACTGGCGGATTGTTCCCCCGTCGCGCCCCGTTCGTACCAATATGTGATAAATCGCTCAGTGCTCAAGTTCAAGGCCAGCGTTCTTTTTTCAGCGTTCGCGCGTACATTGACCTCTAGTCAGGTGATATCAATTCAGTAATTTCACTGCTGGTTTTATGTTTCAGTATTTTCATGATTTTTTTTTATGAAATTATCGTTTCATTTAGATGTACTAACATGATGGCGTGTGAATAAAGCTAATAAAACGTTGTAAAAAGATGATATTTCTTTTTCATCAGGATCGAATTTATTTGTGACCCATGATCAAAGGTATACTTGGTGCTGTCGCCTGTCTTAGTTTTCGGGAGCGTTCCATAAATACCCTGTATATCATAGTCACAGTAAGTCCTTATATTACCATTGCAGATCCACCGGAATGCAGAGGACTCGGTGTAACCCTGAATGACGAAACTTTAGTTTGTAACGTAACAGCTTTACCGGTTCCTAATACATACTTTTGGCAAACTCAAATAGATTCTCAAGTATATAATTTTACAACTGACTTGCCTTTTATCCCACTTTCACAATTTACGGTTCCTTTGACAACGACAGTTAACGTTACTTGTAAAGCAGACAACGGCATCGCTTCTCAACAAAACCTATGCACACGAAGTATGAGCTTTAAGCATTTGCGACCAGAACCACCGCAGCAATGTGATCTGGCTTATGAAGAAGAACAGTTTCAAATCAAATGCATACCAGGTAACACAAAAATAATTTAATTTAAATTTGTTATTAGGAAAGATAAGTTTTATAATACAATATTTTCTTTATGGTATAGTGAAAATATTCCTTAGTATAGACATTCAATGCTATAATTGAGGCTATCTAAGAAAATTCCAGCTACCATGTATTACTTAAAAGGTTTTCCTTTAGGATTCACCAAATTATTTTTTAATGCTTTTTTTTAATATAAATTTTAGTGTATTTTCTATAATCTATAATATAACTTAAGAAAACGTACTTTATTTAGTGATCAAATTTCATTATTGCGTTCAATATCCTTTGTTAATTGTTTAATTTGCTTGTAACTTTTAAAATGTTTGGTTAATTATTATTTTATCTCATATAGTTGATAACGCTACGTACTATGAGGTTGCCGTTTGGCGGATGTCAAAAACCAACGCATCTTTAATACTCGACTATAGAAATTCGATGGGATTTGGTGCAAGTCAAGCACTTACACGGCACGGTGGAAATATTTGGCTTGTTAGAGGAAAACTGGGAGCTCTAAATCATGGAGACGAGGCAGGTGCGGCCGCCTGCAACCGATATGGTTGTTCGACATTTTTGTTTCTGAGGCCTACTGAGAAATTAATTAGTTCTGCTTCAATACCTTGGTGGAAATGTACGTATTTTCTAATTTTTTTATAGGATAAGGGTGACAAGCGAGCACACAGTCCATCTGATGGTATGTATTTGCTTTAGACTATAGCTATAGATATCTATCTTCGTTTGTGAATCAAAATGCAGATGCGTTGTCAGCCATGAGAGCTAAGATGAAATGCCTCTTTTCCAGTAAAAAGGGGTTTCTGGTTCTCTAAACTTACCATACGCAACAGCAGCATTAAGCTGATATTTTACGCTGGTATTCTATGAGAGCGTGGTCCTTCCCGGTTGAGCCGACCAACTCATGCTACAACTACACAATTAATATAGCTGCAGCATGGCTCTACCACGTTTTGTTGCACACGTACTAATTTACATGTTTTATACAACTTGTGCCGTCGGCGTAAAAGAATCCTGCCTACCTACGACTACACCACTGGCCGTGTAGTGGTGGTGTAAGAATACTACCCCATATCATCCCGTGGGTGCTGTAAGAGGCGACAGGGGGAAACAAATCAGGAGATTGGCAGCAGCGTCTTCCCCTTAACAAATCAAAATGATAATTACGTTTGTCAACCCGCATGCCAACGTGGTAAATATGGCAAATATTCCTCCAACAAGGCAAATCTACGGGGAAAGTAACAAAATGATGATACAATTTACATGTATTGTTAAATAATAATAAGAATATAACGAATAATTACTAATAGGATAATTGTTAAAGCAGTTTTAGATAAAGACGTGGGCATTTCACTTGGCATTGCGCTGCTCGTCATCGTGTTTGTGATATCAACGGCATTAGTCGTTAGTGTGGCAAGAAGATCTCTCAAGAAACAACCAGTACCTGTCATACAAGTGGTACAAATTGATGATGTCACTCGGGACTATCTCAGCAGTACTAGAGGTAAGTGCTTGAAATGTTAAATTCAAAATGCGTTGTTTCACATTATTTTAACTGATTTTACTGCGCGCACACACATTCGTAAGGATCGATCGGTAGGCAAAAACGTTGTTGCATATAATTTGGGATAATTTCAAATAAAAGTCGAAGGCTTATTTACTCGTATATTCAATAACCGCAATAAGGGTATATCATTATTTATATATTTGAACTTAGGTTTAAAATTTGGCTACCGTTTGAAAAACAAGCCTGTATATGTATAATCGTAATCATTAACAGCACAGTAAAATATCTGAACTGAATCCTGTTACATATCCAAGATTAACATAAAAAAAGTCAAAGTCTAAGTCAAAATTAACGAATAACTACGCGTCATCTTAAAAGAGAGTACTGGTCATACGCCTCTTCCCCTCTATCAGTTTTTAATCTGGTGACTAGAATCATAATTGGTCATTTGTTTCGCATATTAAAAGATCTTTCAATAGTAGAATTTACTGATACGAGTTTTTCATCGTTTTTTCTTTCATAATGATTTCTTATATCTACGCGAACACTACACACAAACTAATTTTATGGATTTTATCCCGTTTAATTTTAACTTTTTAATTCCCGACGATTTAGGTGCTTTACTGCACCAATAGTTCCCATGGTCATGGTCTCCAGAAGGTGTAGAGTCCACAGTCATGTTTACGGACGCAGATGTTCAGGGTGTCATAGGTAATCCGGACTACTAATCTACGCAGAACATGGAAGCGATAGAAGCTAAATGTATTAGGGTGTGGTGGACAGCGAAACTTAAAAAATCGTGAGTTCAAATCTCTACTAAGTCTACAAACCTACTTCAGACTACAAATCGTATAGCTGCGGTGCAATAATATCCACTACCCCATATCGTACCGTGGGTGGCGTAAGAAGCGACATAAATCAATACCAACTAAAAAATAAAAAAAATTGCGTTTGCCAACCTTACTGGCAGGCGTGGTAACAATATCTGTTTTGATGAGCTGAACGACTGCTGTCACGTACCTCCTAATAGATGCATTCTATGCTTTCTTGGAGCGGTCGACGAGATATATATATTAATTTTAATTGCCTCAATAGCCTAGTATTTTGAATGAAGATGTTTGTATATGTATCCCTTATATATTGCTACAGAACTAAAGATGCATCCATCGTGTAGTCTCCGTTCCTGCAGCAGTAATTTCTTAGATGAAAACGAAGAAAAAAGTTTAACGAACTGGCGCCGTGAACATGTTCTCCGTGACTGGGATCCTCCACCGGATGTCACACTCATTAGACACAGGGAAAGCGCAGTTTGATGAAAAACTTTATATTTGTCATTTTTATATGCAATCGGAAGTATTGAAATAAATGTTATAATTATGTACATAGTGTTTTGCATTTTATTTCCTTAAATAAAACGTTATTCTATTGAACCTTTACTTATAAAGTTGCCAATGTTTACAGAGAAACTTGAACTTGCCTGTTGTAAATAGCAGGCAAGTAGAATCTACTAGAACTGATAGTTTTTAGGCTCTTATCGGTTCTTATTAGTGACTCACCTTGTACTGCGCTTGATGAAGTGACGATATGGTAAGGCCGTATCTTTAGGACCCTGTCGAATCTAGACTAGTGCTGTAGCAAGGAAGTGCCGATAGATCACAGCTCTGGGCAGTAGATTTTAAGGGTCAGCATTTTTAGAAGGAAGTCAGCTCCCTTAATTTTTCTAATTATCCCAGCAATTTTAGCTTTAGCGGCTCCGGGTGGCATCAACCCAAGAAAAGGGCAACGAACGCGCAGTGTGTACTCATAACAAATAAAGCAATAAGATCTCTATTTTATAATTGAAATATTTGCCTGTATTTAACCTCTTACATAACTCCAAATTTCATAAATAAATCTAAGACAGTTCCTGAGCTTTTTTTTTCTAGGATAAGGGTGACAAACGAGCACACAGTCCACCTGATGGTAAGTGGTTGCTGCTGCCCATAGACATCTACATCTATTCTCAATAAAGAATCAAAATGTAGATGCGTTGTCACCCGTGAGGACTAAGATGGAATGCCTCATTTCCAGTAAAAAGGGCCTCCGGCCACCTGCACTCACCAAGCGAAATGCAGAGGTAAACCTCTACTTCACGCTGGTTTTCTGTGAGGCCGTGGTACTATCCCGGTTCGAGCCGGCCCATCCGTGCGACAGCAAAAGCTGCCGCGTAGCTCTACCACTGTTAAGTGCTATTGTGAAGCTGTGAAGTGAGCTATTTAGAAGTGTCATTTTTATCACTCAATGATTCACTGACTCACTTAACAGAAAACCTGGAAGAAGTGATCTATTTCTGCTTGGCAGCTATTCATATCTCACTTAACTCTTTTTGCGACAATGCCAGTTGGCAATGACGTTTGTGGTAGTTATCCCAAACGTCATTTTTATCGAACATGGGCCTCCTTTTTCACATTGATATATATATAAACGGTTTTTAATAAAGTTTTGTCATTCATAAAGTGATGTCTCATTTAAACAAAATTTGCTGAACGGTCTTCCGTTCGAGGTAAAGTCGAACTAACAATGGAACTCTTTAAAGTAATAGGGATTACCCTAGCTAATAAAGCTCCGCCGAGTTTTAACTGCAAGAGACGACGCATGGGGGTTCGTAGCTATGTCCAAGCGTGAAACCGTGAAGTATTGTGTTACAAAATTCAATGTATTTTTAGTTACAAACAATTAATTGGTTTGTAAATACTGTTAATAACTTAATTAGACTATTGAATACATACTAAATCGATAATTAATTTGAAATATTTAATCAGATTCAAAAATTAAGTCTCCTATAATTGCTGGTTAAACAAGTAGCCGCCTTATTAATTTCTTTAAGATCGGTATCTTTCATGATTTATTTACCAATTAGTCAAATTTCAATTATAAAAGAAACACCGAAACTAAGTTATGCACTTTGATTTTAATCAACCAATTCTTAACAGGCCTCTGTGCTTTAAACCAACAGATTTAATTAATTAAAATTACTTCTTTAACTACTGAATTGGGGACAGGCGCTTTCGACGATGGACTGTTTAGATTTAAAAGTTTAAAGTAAATTTTAAATTTACTTTGTAGAAGTATTAAATTTTAAATTATAAAAAAAAATATATTAATAAACTAGAAATTTTTCGCTTTTGATTAATAAGCTCACTTTCAATCTCTCCCACAACAGGAGTTTCGTGTTCCATGTCCTTTATCGTGGAGACGTTTTACATACAGTTGCACATGAACAAACATCGAGAACCGGAACATATATTTCCAAGCCATACAAATATATATCCTATGCGGGATTCAAACAAGAGTCTCCCAGCGCCGCAGCCAAAACGCTTAGCCACTGAGTTACCGCTTTCTTATATAACACTTCTCATAGTCATCTTTTACGACATCCAAAGGTTAAGGCGACACATCGAAAACCGTTGAAGCGGGCTATCGCCGGACTGACCCTAGTGAAACATAATTTCCATAAAAGCTTCAAAAACGACGTCATAAGGTCTAAAATTGCGTAGCGCCCGCTACGATTAAGACCGCTTAGAAATCGCTTAGAATCTTAAAATATTTTTAAAAAATTGTTGATATTAGTAATCAAAATAATGAGCAAGTAAATTACGAATATTGATGTTGTGAATTTATTTGAGTGGTTCCGAAGCATATAGATTAAGTAATTTCGTTGTTATTTCAACTATAGTAATTTTTTAGAGGTGTTTTCGCAAGTAATTATGATCGAGTCAAAACTTTAAAGACATAAATTTACCTGTGTCAAAATTCCAGTTTCGTTAGTCGTGTCATACTCTTATAATATTCGATGAAAGTAAGTGCATTTTTTCGCGGTGTCGCCTTCAAATGGAGTGATGCATTATTTTATGCCGTCACCACATGCCTACGTACCTGCCGTACATATATTTTTTTATAAAAATTATAAACTCACTTCAACCAACAAAAATGAAGGATCGCCCCTTAAGTATAACCTATTCAATAAAAAAGAATCATTAAAATCGGTCCACTATTGATGAACATAAGGAGTAATATACAATACATACAAAAAAATAACATACACTCGAATCTTTCTCGTATTTTTTGAATTCGAGTAGCATATTTGCTACTAGTCACGATGTTTTAAAAGTATATTGATTTTGTCAGTCGTGTTATGTGGTAGAGCTATGCTCTATCTATCTCACAGAATACCAGCGTAAAATAGCTACTCAATGCTGCTGTATTTCTTATGGTGAGTGTAAAGAACCGGAGAACCTTTTTTACTGGAAACGAGTCGTTTCATCTTAGTCCTCAGGGGTGATAACGCATCTGCATTTTGATTCTTAATTGAGGATAAATGTAGATGTCTATGGGCCACAGTATCCACTTACCATGAGGTAGGCTGTGAGCTCATTTGTCACATTTATTCTATAAAAAAAACTTATAGAGTCGAGGGTCATAAGTATTAAAATGAAAATGTCATCGAACAGCTGTTGGAAGCAAATTTTTACTTTCACCGCCGAACGCATCTCTAAGCAATTTGAATATGGGTTTGAGCAACAGCGGAGTAACATTACGTAAACAGTTAAAGTCAGGCTAAAATGCTTAAGGTTTGTTTAAATTAAAGATGTCACAACATTTTTCTACATATTTTGTTTTATTGTTCTTAATGAGTAACGAGTTAGCAGTCGATCTGTTGAAGTGTATCTTTTTCATGGGAATCTGGTAAAGTATCTTTTTCATGGCCTAAACATTAAATAACAAATGCAGCTATATTGCAAATGTCTACTGTAAATCATGGGCACTTGCAATAAACTTAAAACAAAGAACTATAGAAATCAACAGGTGGTTTTTATACGTGGTAGAGTTACGCTGCAACTATATTGGCGGTATAGTTGTAGCAGGAATCGGTCGGCTCGACCGGGGAAGGACTACGCTCTCGCAGAATACCAGCGTAAAATAGCAGCGTAACGCTGCTGTGTTCCGTATGATGATTGTAGAGAACCGGAGACCTTTTTTTACTTGTAAAGAGGCATTCCATCTTAGTCCTCATGGGTGACAACGCATCTGCATTTTGAGTCTTTATTGAGGATATATGTAGATGACTATGGGTCACAGTAACCACTTACTATCAGGTGGACTGTGTGCTCGTTCGTCACCTTATCATATAAAAAAGCTACTCGTATATCAGTAGTATAGTAGTAGCATGAATGGGTCGGCTCGACCGGGGAAGGAGCACGCTCTCACAGAATACCAGCGTGCTTTAAAAAAAAGGTACTTTATCATCAGAACTAAAATGCTTCACCAAAAAAGCCTGTAAATGATATTACCTCTATAGACAGAATTAAAGTACATATACACCTATATATATTGTGACCTACAGCCTTTAATAAATCCTTGATATGACTCCTAGTCCCTGTAATTGAAAATCTCCTCCCGGTCAACGTTACACTAACTAACACTAAGAAGTTACGATGGCTAAGTTATATCAAACTCATAGACTAGATATCCATACATAGTATATCAAAAACTATGGTAATTATCTGATACTTCCCATAGTTTACATGAGTGTCAAATGTAAGGGACAGCTTGAGATACGATTAGGACAAAAATATACTTTATTTGTGTTTTTATTTTATTTGTATTTTAATATCTTTTCTTTTATTTTTTTGGGATTTTTGTCAAAATGACATGCCAATCCCATCATACCTTATACTAATTACTGCTAACACTAGAAGAAAAAAAATAAAAATGTGTATTTGTGAGTACTAGTTAGATTACTAACCTAAAAAGAAATTTATACTGAAGAAGAGAAGATAATTATTCCGTCCTAGAAGCAAGCCGGAATAACGTTCTTGACATCTTTGATTTGGGGTTTGATAAAATCTTTTGCACTAGATCGACATCCTAAATAGTATTTTTATTTGTACCTTAGTTTTTCCGTAATTAATAAAAAATGTTGTCAGCGTTAGATATGGTTTACGTGTGTTTACCTTAAGTATGTAGAAACCAAATAACTTAAAAAAAATGTCGTAATCTGTAAAAAAACTTGAAGCGCATCCTGTGCAGAATATAAATCGCTATAAAAATGATCGCTTCATATGTTCATGTTTACTACATAAGCGGGTTTAACTCTAAGATTAAGTAAGCTAGCTCAGGGGCTAAGCGCTCGCTGTAAATTTCACAGTAACCAAGCGACCCGGGTTAGATCCCCGCCGGCAATTATGAACTTATTAATTACAACTATTTTAAGTGACATTATACCACGTGTTCGGCGGTGAAAGAAAACATCGCGAGGAAACCTGCATGACTG